GGCCAAGAACTTCGACGACCACGCGCACGGTGCTTCACATGCCCCGAAGCAGATCTTCCTCATCAACCTTTCCCATCCCATCACAACCCAAGCGCACCTACTTACGCTCCGATGGAAAAGGTCTACAGCGATATTTTAAACATGCCTCGAGACGACACCGAAGCCGACTTCAACTACGTCATCACGTTCATCGACGCCGCAACCAGATATGTATGGCACTTCAATCTCAAGACGCCGATCAAGCCTTCGAAGCCTTCACAACATGGCTTCCCATCGCCGAACGAGAATCAGGACTCAAACTCAAGAGCTTCCAGTCAGACGGTGCACTGGAATACCAGTCACAACGCTTCAAGACCTATCTGGCGGAAAGAGGAATCAGACGCCTGGTGTCCCTGCCCTATGCTCACCAACAGCAGGGGGTCGCAGAACGCATGAATCGGACCTTGCAGACGACAATGCGAAAACTGCTTCAGGGGATGAGACTGCCAACCACACTGTGGCCAGACGCGATGACACATGCAGTCCACCTGCACAACCTGTTGTCCTCGTCATCGCTCCCCAACAACGCATCACCACACCTGCTGTGGACGGGAAAAAGGGGCAGCACAAAATTACTTCGAGTTTTCGGCTGCATGGTACAATACAGACCCCACACAGCTCGAGCAGGACGCTTCACTCAACGAGCTCGGTGGGGACTACACCTCGGCATCGCCAAACATTTTCACGCGTGGAAGATTCTCGACATACAAGACAAAAATACGGTGGCATCACGTGATGTTATCTTCTACGAGCGACTGACGCTGCAGCATTACCTGGACAACATTGCCAACTCAGACGACCCCACCGACGGCTTCGCGGGCCTTCGCTCCTTCGCTGACCATGCTGCCGAGGCTGACGCAGCAGAAGAAGACGTCCCTGGAGCCTCGGAGGCTGCCGGACCACTCCCCTACTGCTCCGTACCTGTTCCACTCGATGAAGATAATCCCCTCGATAGCAACAACCTCGACACCTTTTACCACTTCGCTGACCAAGGCTACGCTACACCACACCCCGTCGACTCGAATATTTCCGAACGCATCGGGTCAAACTTCTTACCCGATCCTGAAGACGGTGATGAAGCAGCTTATCCCGGGAATGAAAATTCCCCTCGACACACAGCCACGGGACTGCAGATCCTAGGACTATGGGTCTCCGTCCAGCACCCGCCGCCGCCTTCTCCGCGCGAGCCATCGACCCTGTCGCAGGCTCTGGGGGGGGAACATAAGGCGGAATGGAAGGAAGCAATGGAAAAAGAGTTAAAAGCCCTCCAAGACCGGAATACATGGAAGTTAGTACCGACAACCAACACCAACGGGAGGAACATTCTCTCGGGGAAATGGGTGTACCGCATTAAGACCAACGCGGACGGCTCCATCGAACGTTTTAAAGCGCGATGGGTCGTACGAGGCTTCGACCAACGATACGGAACCGACTACACAGAAACCTTCGCCCCAGTCTCCCGTCACACCTCCCTGCGCATCCTACTCGCCGTCGCGGCCACGAAGAAACTACCACTACGGCAAATCGACGTCGCAAACGCCTTCTTGTACGCACCTGTGGACGCCGAAATCTTCGTCGAACAACCCCACGGATTCATCGACGACCCTTCAAAAGTATGCCAGCTGGAAAAATCCCTTTACGGGATCAAGCAAGCCCCACGGCTCTGGCAGCAGCACCTTCACGGCCGGCTCGTAAAAATCGGATTCCTACAGTTACCACATGACCAAGGCATGTACCGACTGCAGAAGGGAAGAAATTACATTCTGCTCATAGTCTACGTCGACGACCTGCTCTACATCGGTTCTACCACCGACATCGTCACCTGGTTCGAAGGGGAGCTGAAAGGGGACCTGACGCTCACGGTGTCCGACTCAGTGACCCAGTACTTGGGACTAAATGTCGTCGAAGACAACTCGGCGTTCTACCTACACGCTGGAAAGTACGCAGGCACTGTCGCGAAGAAATTCGGACTGACGCCGACTACGGTCCCGACTCCCTACCGCTACGGAAACAACAACAGCGCCTCCGCAAAACTCCCCGCGAAGCAAATCCAGGAGTATCAACAGAAGCTCGGCTGCCTACTATTCGCAGCAGTCACCTGCCGACCCGACCTGTCCTATAGTGCGAGTCAACTAGCGACGCATCTGAAGCAACCGGAACAGGAAGATCTCGAGGAACTCAACCGGGCACTACTCTACTTCGTCTCCACGCCGACGATCGGACTTATCTACAGCAAAGCGACAACACCGTCCGTACAACTGCTCGGATACGTCGACGCCGACCACGCGGGAGACAGGGAAAATCGACGATCTAGGACGGGCTACATCTACCGACTAGAACCCATCGGAACTATCTCCTGGCAGTCGAGCAAGCAGGAGTTAATCGCACTATCCTCGGCTGAAGCAGAGTACATCGCCCTTTGTACTGCGACCAAGGAAGGACTCTACCTGCGAGAGTTACTCGAGGAAGCGAAGATCACGACCCTGCCCGCCTTCTCACTCTTCTGCGACAACCAATCTGCGATCAAAATCGCAAACAAGGACGGCTTCGCCAACCGAACCAAACACATCGCCCTGCGGTACTTCTTCGTCAAAGATGAAATCGCGAAGGGGAGACTTCAACTCAGTTACTGCCCGACGACAGAAATGGCCGCAGACTATTTGACGAAGAAATTAACGAAGACAAAATTCGACCACTGCATGCTGCTGACCGGACAGACAAACGTCACCAGATCCGAACATAACAGCACTCCAGAAACGAAGGGGAGTGTTGGAAATATCTCAAAGAACTTAAGCGTTTCTGAAGTGTAACACTACACTCGAGGAAGACTACAAGGGAGCACGCGAGTCAACGGAGGTTACACGAGGGGGCGGACAAAGAATGCGAAAGGTCGCAACTGGAGGTTGCGACTGACCGTTACAGCATCATGGATGGTAACCGAAGCGGCAATCGAGTCGCTGTGCGACTCGATAAACCGTTCCTGTAACTGTACTCTACAACTGCTTTCTTATATTCTATATATTGCTGTATGCTTGTTCCCTTAATCAATCACTTGTTCTCACATACTAGTACAAGGGTTCAAACTGCCTCAACTTCCGCTGCACTACCCCAAGTCTCAAGTCTCTACAGCTGGGACTTAGTCTCTGCAAAGGATCCTAAGGGTTTTTCTAAGCCCAACAACAGCAATATATAGAAAATAAGAAAGCAGTTGTAGAATACAGTTGCAGGAACGGTTATCGAGTCGCACAGCGACTCGATTGTCGCTTCGGTTACCATCCGCGCTGTTGTAACGGTCAGACGCAACCTCCAGTTGCGACCCTTCGAGTCTCTTCGCGTTCTTTGTCCGCCCCCTCGTGTAACCTCCGTTGACTCGCGTACCCGTTGCGATCTTCCTCGAGTGTAGTGTTACACTTCAGAAACGCTTAAGTCCTTTGAGATATTTCCAACACCATCTCAGAGTTAGAATGGTTGACTAGAATGTGAGCATACAGGGGTATATAGCTAATGGGTTGTACTCTCTATGGCATAACCCTATGTAGTCTACTAAACATACACACATACAGTATGTTTCACAAGAGTGCAAGGGAGAGTATGGGGAAGGGAGTCAAGTTTGGTTGGGAAGCGACACAAAAACCACTAATTGCTGAAAAAATCCATTACCCACTGTGAACAGTACAGGAAACAAAATCAGCCTAGACAGACAACGATTTTCAAACAGCTACATCCCATGAAATCTTCACCAATATAATCAAGTTCGATATGGACTCAGAAACTCGCTATATCTTGCAGGAGCATCCGGCGCCTGAGCAGCCGTCCCCGCAGCTGCAGTTCGTCCCAGACGCGCACTTGCTCCCCCCAGCCTGTCCGCAAGCGCACCCTCCGCCAGCGCAGCTCTCCCCGCAGTCGTAGCTAGCGCCAGACGCGCATCCGCCGCCCCTAGCCAGTCCGCAAGCGCACCCCGCGCCGGAGCAGCTCTCCCCGCACCCGCACTTGACGCCAGACGCGCACTTGCCCCTAGTCTCCACGCCGCAAGCGCACCCAACGCCGGAGCAACCTTCTCCGCAGCAGCAGCGCGCCCCAGAGGCGCAAGCGCCAGCGGCGCTAGCCTTCTTCCCGGCGCATGATCCCCCCACGCAGCCTCCCCCGCACCCCCCGCCGCTGCTCACGGAGCACGTGCACGAGTCGCACGCGCAGCCCGGGCCGCACCTGCACGCCGCGCCGTTGCTGCAGGCGCAGGTGGCGGCGACGGTTGTCGTCTTGCAGCCGCAGGCGCTGTTAGTGGGGGAGCACGCGCAGGCGCTGCCGCACGCGCAGGTGTTGGTAGGAGCCATGGGGATCTCTTCAAAGTGGAGGAAGCAGTATTGCTGGAAATGAAGCAAAGAACTTTTGCTGGAAAATCTCTCTGCGACGATCAGTAACTGCCGAAAAGCACTGCTGATGAGGAGGCACTAAATTAGAGTTCAAAATGGTCGCTAGAATGTGGTAAGGAAATCACGGGCCTTATGTCGAAGGAGGAAGAAAGAGTGAATGAGTATTCGTTGGATTAGATAGAAAAGCTGCGGCTTCTCGTTATATACGCCTACTACCAACGACGAGGCGCACCCCGATTTGAATTCGAGCGACTCGACGGTGGACGTGTGCTAGAAGTCAGGACTGCCATTATTGAGGGGGCGGGGCCGGGTTCTAGGACGTTCGATAAAGAATAAACGATGCTGCCTCTCGCGGCCATTCCAACTTCTGGGAAAGAAAGAATCTTCGACAAACAGCAGATCGATTGAGATAGTAGTTGCGTACAGTGTATGCGGCTTTGGATAGTGACGAACAAACTGCAGCATACTACATACACATTGCCTTGCAGTTTGTATAACGTCCACCCTTTTGTCGCCATGCATTGCACATCGCCTTGCAGCATACTTCTTAAGCACGCTATTAGCTAACACCATTTACAAAATCCCCTCTTTTGTCACTTTACCAGCTTATTCATACATTAAACAATACACTACATTTTTTGTTGAATGCCTTTATAATAAGTCCAAAGTTTCCATGTTTTTCTCTAGAAGCCTCAAGTCAAACAGGTGGCGCATAGTTGGCCGACCGTGGGGACAATTCCAAGGCGACTGCAACGTGGACAGCTGGCCGAGGATCTGAGCAAACATTTGAGAGGAGAGCAGATGCATGAGATATTTCCCACACGCACAAAAAAGAGCAAGGTGAGAAAAAATAGCATCCCACCTTGTTCATTTGAGGCTGGCTTAGAGCCGTCCCGATCATCACAGAGCTTCTGCATGCTCTCGACGCCAGCATGGCTCGCACCCGTGACGGTCGCACCGCTACAACCGTTGATGACGAGGCTGACAGTGCCGCTACAGCCATGGATGGCGATGGGGTTGCTACATCCGTTGAGTGAGACTGTTCTCGCCTTGGACGAGTAGCCTCATCCATGCCCTTTTCGTCGCATCCTGCATGTGGGGAAGCTTCCTGATGGTTTCCAGCAATGTCCGGTTCCGGAAGAGGCGCATCGGCCAGCATTGAGATAAGCTCGCAGACGTCTGTTTAGGGAGGAGGATAACAACGGGGAAAGAGTGTACAAGGCCGCATTGAGGGAAGTTGTTGATGTCTGAGTAGAGCGGAGGATAGTACAGGGGAGAGAGTATGGAAGCCAGCATTGGGATGAGTCTGTGGACATGTGCAAGGAACCCAAGGGGGAGTCAGGCAATGGAGTGATCAAACAGAGTGGAACCCAAGGGGGAGTCAGGCAATGGAGTGATCAAACAGAGTGGAACCCAAGGGGGAGTCAGGCAATGGAGTGATCAAACAGAGTGGAACCCTCATGGACACATTCACGGTGAAAAGGGACGAAAAAGAGTATTTAGGACGACAGTGTGAGGGATACATTGCCCAAGCCAGAATTCAAATGAAATTGTAAAATCCTGCATAGAGTGATGCTGGGGACAAGGAGGAGAATGAACGGGGCAAGGAGTGATACGGGCAACCCCGATGTCAGTCAGATGTAGGGGGACATCACTCAACGATTTTTGAGGCGCCTCAAAAATCGTCTCAGTTCTCGCGGCAACCCCGCTGTCAGTCAGATGCAGGGGGAAATCACTCACACGGGCGCCAGCACAAACATAAGTGTAGTTTCGAGGCGTCGCAAAATGACCCAAAGTTACACCAAGAGCCCACTGTCTCACCAGATGCACCAAAGACGATGTTTTTGGAGAAAGGGACAGCTGAGAGGCGGAACCGACGGCCGGATGGAGCGCACTCATCCACGGAGAAATGAAAGCCGTTAGATCTGATGGGAGGTGGAGAGAGAAGACACGAGTGGGAGGAAAGCGGGGCAGAGAAGAAGTGAAGAGCTAGGAGGAACGAGGGAGATGACCCTTGGGACGATATTGTGGGCGTTGTGGGGGGATGACACAAAACACGACTACTACACACGGACATGTACCTGAATGTGGGCATGTGCGCGGACACAATCACTTCCTCCGCATTTGAGCCGACTCAAAAGTCATCTCGTACACTAAGTCAAAGTTCATTGACATGTACCTGAATGTGGGCACGTGCACTGACAGGTGTTAAGGGGCCTCAAAACACGACTATTACACACGGACATGTACCTGAATGTCGGCATGTGCGCCGACACTATCACTTCCTCTGCTGGAGATAAGTCCAGCCTCTGGGGCCTGGCAAGAAGAGAGGCAACGGAGGAGAAGGAGCCGGAACAAAGGAGGAGAAGGACCGGGGGATGAATGGGAGAGATAGACACAGAAGGGGAACAGAAGAGAGGGAAGAGAAGGAGGAAGGAGGAAGGAGGAAGGAGCAACGAACCAAGACGGAGGTGGTTCAGCAACCACATGGGAGCAGGTAGAATATAAAGGTTCAACCTATGGTAGTTTCTGATAGGTGCACTGAACGAGGCTATAGAGAGGTTCTGTTCGCACTCTGAGATGACTGCTTGGTGACACTGTTATGGGCATCAGAAGTGAGGCGCTTGCAAAGACGTGCAGGACGGCTTATGAGGACTTATTCTAGATGTAAGAGGGGTTTTGGAGCACTGTGGATCTGAGGAGGCGCTCATACAGGCAAGGCTGGACAAGTGACTCACTCACGCTAGCAGCGGCTGCTTGTTGAGCATGGCGCATTGCACGAAGCACTCGCAAAGACTTGCAAGCTGGCTTTTGAGGCGAAGCATACGAGACGAGCAAGACTCATACGAGACGAGCAAGTACAGGAAAGTGGCTCACACTAGCAGCGGCTGCTTGTTGAGCACGGTGCACCGCATGAGGCGCTCAAAGTTGAACTTCTCGTCAGATGCGTGCTGGGCGAGGGATGGGGCAGGAGATGGGGCAGCGGATAGGGCAGGGAACGACAGGATGGGTTGAGCAGGGAGGGAATGTGCCAGATTTTGAGGATGCGGTGATTCAAAAGCACCGTGCACCGCGTGAGGAGCTAAACGTTTACACTGCTGCTCGTCTCGATCATGGCTAACGACACTTGGTGATTCAAAAGCACCGTGCACCGCATGAGGAGCTCCAAGTTGAACTTCTCGTCAGACGCATGCTGCGGGGAAACGGGGCAGGTAGGGCGGTGTGTGCAGGAAAGGAGCACTTTAGGAAAGCGAGAACGAGCAGATAGTATCGCAAGAGTGGATAGTTTAGTGCTGGTGAGGGATGATGTGTGCATGGCACCACATAAGACGTTCAAATTTGAACTTCTCGTCAGAAGCATACTGCGAGAGAATGGACAGGGAGGGCGGTGGGCTCAAAAGGCAAGCTTCAGTTTCTTCTTGCTTCTTGTTTTGATTAGTTTCTGTAAAACGAGAATTGCCACAATAAAATCCGTCCTGATGGCGGCGAGGAATGTAATGTGCATACAATAATGATACTGCATTCATATAAGAAAAATACATCAGCTATACAAAGTAACACCATGCACTCTGTACCTGGTCCACGATGAAGAGATCCGATCCCAGCCGTCCAATGATGAACCCCAGGTTGAACTGGCCAATCACAGCCATGCTAGCAAAGTCCCGCTTGTCAAACCGCCGCTCTAGCTCCCGTGCTGCTGCCTCCAATGCCTCTTCTTTCTCCCCCACCTGCTGTTGCTGCTGCTGCTGCCGCCTCCCCCCACTGCTGGCAATGCTGCATGAGACAGACGCTGCCGCGAAGCTCCTGTGTCGACCTCCTCGTCCTGCCGTCCTTCCCCATTCTCTCCTCCTCTTCTCCCTCTCCCTCACCTCTGCTCGCTGCCTCCACACCTGCTGCACTCGCCTCAAGTCGAATTGAACCCGCACGCTCCCCTCTTCCCCCCTCGCCTCCCAACCCCTCCCTGGCTGTGCCACTGTGCGCTGCCTCACCCTCTCTCGTCCCTCCACTCCCTCCTCTTCCTCTTCACCTTCTGCTTTCTCCTCCCTTCCTCCTCTCCCCTCTCTCCCTTCAGCCTTCTTTCCCAATTCCTCTGCTTCCTCTTCCGCCCCTCCCAGCCCCTCCATAAATTCCTGCTCCCCATGGTCACTGCAGCACCTCCCCTTCTCTGCCCCATGCTCCACAGGCAGGGCAAACCTTTCTTGCTGCCCAGCCGTTTGGGTTCCAGGCAGCAGTTGGGAGCCCAATAAGTCGGGCAGGTCAGCCTGAGTCATGTCTTGCGTCATCAGGGGCAGATCCAAAACATTTCTCCCTGCCCACTCATCCCTGACATCCTCCTGCGAATCACCTCGATAAATTTCCGGCCGAAGCCGCTTAGACGCCCGAACCTCATCTACTTTGAACCCCATATCCTCATCGTTTTCCGGGCTTTTATCCACCTCCTTCTCCTCTCCCTCGCCTTCCTCCCATCCCCCCCGCTCTCCGGCTCCCTCCACCCTCACCTCCTCCTCCTCCTCTTTCTCCTCCTCCTCCTCTTTCTCCTCTTCCTCCTCTTTCTCTTCCTTCTCCTCCTCCACTGCCTCTGGCTCACCGCCTTCCCTCCTCCCCTCCTCCACAACCACCACCTCCTCCGCCTCCTCATCCTCCTCCTCCTCATCCTCCGCCTCCTCATCCTCCTCCTCCTCATCCTCCGCCTCCTCGTCCCAGCCACCCTCTACTGTTTCCTTTTCACCATCCCCATGACTCCTCATCCTTTCAACACCACCCCCTTCCCCTCTCCCCTTCTTCCGTAGCCACATATCCAGCCTTCCACGCCCCGCTCCCTCCCGTCCACTCTCGCCCATACCTCCTCTTTCCCCCCTCTCTCCCCCCTTCCCCCCCGGAACTTGAATGACAAACCCACCCATCGACATCTGCACAGAAGGGTTGCTCCCTCGGCACTCCTCTCGTGATTGTTTAAGAGCCTGAGGAAACCCTTGGCGCTTCCCTGTCAGCATGAGCACACCAAGAGAGCAACCTTTCCCTGAGCTGCCTTCAACACTATCGCTCGCACTTCCACCACCCCCACCACCCACGCCTTCCCCAGATGCGAACGCAAAGCTACTCAACCCACGCCGACCTCCCAGCCTTAGCTTCCTGCTCTCCTGCAACACACCCTGCTCCTCTTGCTCTCCTCTCTCTTCCCTGTCCCCGTTCCGCTTCTCAAGGACGTCATCCCCAGTCCCTTCCTCATCCCCACTCTCCCCCTCATCCCCACTCTCCCCCTCATCCCCACTCTCTCCCCCAAGCACTTCAGCGTGTCTCTCAGCATAAGCATCTCCCTCACCCGAGCATGACCCCCCCAGTGTGCGCTCCTCACTGTCCACCTCCGGGCCCTTGTCCGCGCCCGTGCACATATCTACAGCCTTCCCCTTCCCCAAAACCGGCACTGGAGCATTGCCCTTTCTCTTCCCCTTGCCCTGGGGACTCATCAGCAGCAGCCGTCGCATCTCTGCAGCTTTTCTCTCGCTCCACTGCAGCCCTGACGCAACCCCTCCTCCTCCTCCTCCTCCTCCTCCTCCTGCTGCTGCTGCTCCTGCACCTCCTCCTGCTCCTCCTGCTGCTGCTCCTCCAACTGTCCCCCCCGCTCTAACCCCAGCTGCTCCTGCTGCTGCTGTTTCTCGTTCTTTGTTCGCACCTCCTGCCTCTCTTCTCCCCACATCCAGTAGTTGCTGCTGCTCATCCTCTACCCTTTCCTCCCTCTCTTCCTCTTCCTCTTCCTCAACCTCCTCCCCTGCTCCAACACCCCCCTCTTCCTCTCCACCTCTCCCTCTCTCACTCACCCTCACTCGCTTCCTCCTCTGGTCTCCCTCCTCCCCCTCCCCTCCACACTCCCTCTTATCCTCCCCTTTCTCTACCACTCCTCCAGCAACCGTTTTAACCACTCTCCTCTCCCCCCTAACCTCCTCCCTCCTCCGCTCTTCAATCTGCTTCGGCACCGAACCAGAAGGCGCAGCTCGGTAGACATACCGGTCCGGGGAGTAAAACTGCAACAAAGAGGCCTTCAACCCCGATAATAACCCCGCCTCCGAGTGTAAAAACACCTTACGCTTATCCGGGGTCACATTCACATCAAAAGCGTCCGCGCTAAGCGAAACATTTAAGAAAGCGGCGGGGTACTGCAGCGAGTTAAACGACCGGTAGAGCTCGTTTAAGAGCTTTGCGAGCCGGGGCAGGTCCACCGGGCGACCGTTAATAAAAAAGAACTGACGATCTCCACTGGATCTCCCACTCCCTGCTCCTGGCTTGGACAGATACCCAGTTACCTGGCAGCAGGCTGCTGGAAGAGGGGGAGGGGCGGTGGGGGAGACACTACCTGAACCTGCCAGTCCAGTACTAGAACAACCAACACCACCTGCATCACCAGCACTAGCAGAATCAGCAGCAGTTGCAGTGGCGGCAGCAGCAGCAGCAGCAGGATAGAGGGGGAAGGTGATGTCGACGGGGTCGAGCGCAGCAGCAGCCTTGCAGCCGAAGACAGCGATGATGTTTTCACGCATCGACCCCGTGCCAGCTGTCTGCACCACAGTGGTCCGCGCTGTGCTGCGCGCGCTCTGATTGGTGCAGATGATCCGGGTGCGGGTAGAGATCACACAGTACGCCTGGAGAAGGCTCACGAGTTTCGCGAATTCTCTCCGAACGTTCCTCTGAAACTCCCGGTGTCGCACGGGCAGCGGCGAAAAAATCTTCGCCACGCTGACAGTCGTTCCCACTGCCCGAGCAACTTTTTCCCTCGGCCCATCCAGCAATTTTCCTCCATGGTCGAACACAAGGCGAGTTGCTATTGGCTCGTCGGCGGTGCGTGTGGTGATGGTGACGTCAGCAAGGGCGCAGAGGGAAGAAAGGGCCTCTCCTCTAAAGCCGAAGGAGGAAAGCGACTGGAGGTCAGAGAAGTGGGCGATCTTGGACGTGTGGTACTTGAGGGTCAAAGCCTGCAGCAATCATTTTGAAAAGGTAGGAGGGGATTGGGAGGGGTGTCGAGGAATACTAAGGATGACAAGGATTGGGGGTTGGAGAAATGGGCGATCTTCGATGTATGGTACTTCAGGGTGAACGCCTGCAGCACTCATTACAAAACGAGGGATGGAGAGGGCTGGAGAGGGATGGAGAGAGATGGAGAGAGATGGAGAGAGATGGAGAGGGGATACAAACGATGACAAGGATTGAAGGCCAGGAAAAGGAGAAGGGACACAAAGGAGGGCGTTCTTGAATGCCCCTGAACACAACCGAGCAGCCCACCTGAGCTACCCACCTGAGCTACCCACCTGAGCTACCCACCCACCTGAGCTACCCACCTGAGCTACCCACCTGAGCTACCCACTTGAGCTACCCACCTGCCAGTTCTCAGCCGCCACGCCCGAGCCGTTGTCCGCCACCTCGGTAAGCTCCGCGCCGCACTCCCCAAGTCGCACCTCATCACGTGAAGCACCCGCGAACTTGCCATTCCCCCCTTTCACCCCCTTTCACCCCCTTTCACCCATACTCCTTAGAGCACCCCAAGTTTCACCTGCCAATTGTCCGGCGCCACACCGGAGCCGTTGTCCGCCACCTCTATGAGCTCCGCACCCGACTCCCTCAGCCGCACCTCCACGCTCGTAGCTCCCGCTAGCCTGCCATTCTTCCATTCACCATTGCTCCCTTTTAACCCTCACTGCTGAGTTCTCCACCTGCCAGTTGTCAGGAGCAACGCCGGAGCCGTTGTCCGCCACCTCTATGAGCTCCGCACCACACTCCCTCAGCTGCACCTCCATGCTCGTAGCCCCTGCTAGCTAGCCTTCTCCCTCCCACGCATTCCCCTGAAGGCAACCGAGCAGCCCACCTGCCAGTTGTCCGGCGCCACACCCGATCCGTTGTCCGCCACCTCAATGAGCTCCGCGCCCGACTCCCTCAGCCGCACCTCCACGCTCGTAGCTCCCGCGTCCAGGCTGTTCTCCACCAGCTCCTTCACCGCTGTAGCGAGGTCCAGCACCACCTGCATGGTGCAGCAAGTGGCCAGGGGGCGCAAGAATGGCGATGTTAGTCCACATGCCCGCGTCCAGGCTGTTCTCCACCAGCTCCTTCACCGCTGTAGCGAGGTTCAGCACCACCTGGAACCGGAGAGGAGGGGTGAGGAGGAGAGGGGGGGGAGGGGGGGGTTAGGCTGATGTGTGCCGCGTCCAGAATGTTCTCCACCAGCTCCTTGACGGCCGTAGCGAGGTGTAGCACCACGTGCAAGTGACGTGGATGGAAGAGCAGGGCAGGGGAAAGCAAGGATAGGTGGAGGGTTGAAATCACGGCGGCCTGCGTCCAGTCTGTTCTCCACCAGCTCCCTCACCTCTGTAGCGAGGCCCACGTAGAACCGGAGAGGAAGGGTGAGGAGGGGGAAAAGGGGTGGGGGGGGGGGGGGGGGGAGGGGAGGGGTGGGGGGGGGGGGGGAAAGGGTGGGGGGAGGGGGGGGAGAGGCTGATGCATTTCGCGTCCAGGCTGTTCTCCACCAGCTCCCTCACCGCTGTCGCGAGGTCCAGCACCACCTGCATGGTGCAGCAAGTAGCCAGGGGGCGCAAGGATGGCGAGGTTATCCCACATGCCCGCGTCCAGGCTGTTCTCCACCAGCTCCTTCAGCGCCGTCGCCAGGTCCAGCACGACCTGGAAAGGGAGAGGAGGGGGGAGGAGGGGCGGGTGGGGTGGGGGGGAGTGGAGGGGAAGGCTGATGGGTGACGCGTCCAGGCTGTTCTCCGCCAGCTCCTTCACGGCTGTCGCGGGGTCCAGCGAGACCTGGAGCCGGGGGGAGCCGGGGGCGAGGGCTAAGGGATTATATCTGCATACCATCTAGGCTGCTCTCCGCCAGCTCCTTGACCGCTGTCGCCAGGTCCAGGACCACCTGGAGACGGGGGGAGCCTATTCTTGAGGCGCCTCAAAATTTGACTCCAGCGCGACCTCGAACCGGGCGGAGCCCGGGGCGAGGGCTAAGAGATTACATCTGCATACCATCTAGGCTGTTCTCCGCCAGCACCTTGACCGCCGTCGCCAGGTCCAGCACCACCAGGTTGTTTTTACACGGAAGAGAGAGGGCGAGAGAGAGGGCAGGAGGGGGGGGAACGGGAAGCGTTGTTTCACATGCCCACGTCCAGGCTGTTCTCCAATAGCTCCCTGCCACCTGTCGCCAGGTCAAGCACCACCTGAGCGGGTGAGCGGCCGGGGTATGCGGGGAATCTGATGCGAGGGAATTCCTGTGGTCACATGATGCGCTAATGCGACGACGCGATTACTTGTAGAAGCTTGAGTTTTCGAGCTCACCTGTCCAGAGCATATGCGGTGAATAGCGGCCTTATCGATCGGCCGAATCATAGCTCCCCGGCCGCCGCTGCCACTACCACTGGTACCGCCAGCGTCGTTACTGGAATGCGCGGGCACGCAGTGAGAAGGCATTCTACAGGCTGATAACAAAAAATCTAGACGGGGAAAGCAATATTTTATAAGAAAGGGTCGCAATCACAAACGCTGCGGTTTCGGCGCAGGGAGGAAGGTGGATGAATGGAAAGCGGCTTCAAGGATACGCGTTGTGAGTCAAAGTGGGAAACTCTGTCAGAATCTCGGAAGGGGTGGGATTTTTGGAATTCAAAATTGGAAACTTGCAGTTGTACGCGTTTGTGCCATCTGTGGACGCGTTTTGTTTGCACGCCATTATGTACAGGTAGGCAATGGGGACAAAGGGGGCATCATGTCACGTCACATGCGCTATGAGAGTGTTACATGAAAAACACTTGTTCACATTTCTTGGAAATATAACATGCTCATGAAAGTTCCTTGGGTTGAGGCCAGATCGTGTAGGACGCTGTTGAATTCATCCTTGGGTAAAGGTAAATATACATAAAAAGGGAAGACAAGGGCTGGCTGATCCAAAAGTGCCTGGTCATATAGCATGTCTGTCAAACATGTGTAATTGTCATGTTTGTATAGACTGTATAGAGTCATCTCTTAGAGGGTACAAGACTTAGGTATATTTGTGTGTACTCTCACTCTATCACTAACACTTCTCTGATTTTGATATGGTATCACGCGTAGGTTAGGATCCCCCCCCACCTACCGCTTCCGCTCGCCCCTCCTAGCCCCGTCGTGCCCCTAGCCCCGTCGCGACCCCCCTAGCCCCGGCGCGCCCCTTCCTGGGCCCTGTAGCGCCCCTCCTGGGCCCCGTCGCGCCCCTCCCAGGCCCCGTCACGCCCCTCCTGGGCCCCGTCGCGCCCCTCCTAGGCCCCGTAGCGCCCCTCCTGGGCCCCGTCGCGCCCTTCCTGGGCCCTATAGCGCCCCTCACAGGCCCTGTCGCGCCCCTCCTAGGCCCCGTCGCGCCCCTTCTAGGCCCCGTCGCGCCCTTCTCGGGCCCTGTAGCGCCCCTCCTGGGCTCAGTCGCGCCCCTCCCAGGCCCCGTCGCGCCCCTCCTGGGCCCCGTAGCGCCCCTCGTGGGCCTCGTAGCGCCCCTCCTGGGTTCCGTCGCGCCCCTCCTGGGCCCCGTAGCGCCCCTCCTGGGTTCCGTCGCGCCCCTCCTGGGCCCCGTAGTGCCCCCCCTGGGCCTCGTCGCGCCCCTCCCAGGCCCCGTCGCGCCCCTCCTGGGCACTGTAGCGCCCCTCCTGGGCCCCGTAGCGCCCCTCCTGGGTTCCGTCGCGCCCCTCCCAGGCCCCGTCGCGCCCCTCCTGGGCCCCGTAGCGCCCCTCCTGGGCCCCGTCACGCCCCTCCTGGGCCCCAGAGCGCCCCTCCTGGGCCGCGTCGAGTCCCTCCTCCTGGACCCCGTCACGCCTTCCGGCCCCGTCGCACCCGCCGGCCCCGTCGCACCAACCCGGCCCCGTCGCGCCCGCCCGGCCCCGTCGCACCCGCCTGGCCCCGTCGCCCCCTGCCCGGCCCCGTCGCAGCCGCCCGGCCCCATCGTACCCGTCCGGCCCCGTCGCACCAGCCCGGCCCCGACGCACCTGCCCGGCCCCGTCGCACCGGCCCGGCCCCGTCGCACCCGCCTGGCCCCGTCGCACCTGCCCGGCCCCGTCGCACCGGCCCGGCCCCGACGCACCTGCCCGGCCCCGTCGCACCGGCCCGGCCCCGTCGCGCCCGCCCGGCCCCGTCGCACCAGCTCGGCCCCGACGCACCCGCCCGGCCCCGTCGCCCCGGCCCGGCCCCGTCGCACCCGCCCGGCCCCGTTGCACCGGCCCGGCCCTTGCGCTCGTCCCTGCCCCGGCCCCGGTCCTCCTCACTGGTACGGTTTCCCCCCCCCCCCCCCCCCCGCCCTGCACTGCCCTGCACAGTACTGCCCCGCACTGCACCGCCCCTCACCACCCTGTACTGCCTGGCACCGCACTGCACCGCACTACACCGCACTGCACCGCACTGTACCGCACGGCACCGCACTCCACCTTGCTGCACTGCCCTGCACCGCACTGCGCTGTTCCTGATGGCGGCGGAGCTTCGCTTCGACGCCGAAGACCAGCCTCTGGAGTTCGAGGCGTGGCTTGCCGACCTCCGCCGCCAACTCACTGGCCAGCGGCAGGATGGCGAACCGCTTTCCGCACACCTTGACGGTACGCTACCCTGCCCAGACCCCCCCGCTATTTTGCCCGCTGACTCCACCCCCACCGAGCGCGAGTCTACTGCTGCCACTGCCCGTGCGCGCTCTGTCTGGCTTTCTCGCGATGCTGTCGCCCAGCTTGCCATTAGCAACGCCCTTCCCCCGTCCGAGCGCCCTCGCTTTAGGTCCCTCACCACTGCTCAGGCATACTTAGATGCTGTCATCAAGCGCTATTCCACCCCTCCGGCTGCCTCGGTGGGTCGCCTGATCCTCCCGCTGCTCTTTCCTGACCTTGCATCCTTCCCTACTGTCTCTGACCTTGCTGCCCACCTGCGCTCGATAGATGAGACCTGGCGCGCTGCCTGCACTGACGCACAGCTTAGAGCCCACCAGCCGCCCATTACCTCTACCCTCTACCTGCTTGCCACCCGCCTCCCTGACCGCCTTGCTGTCGCCCGCGACCGCTTCCTTAGGATTCACCCCGCCGACCTCACCCTCACTGACTTTGTAGACACCCTGACTGTGATTGAGACCCGTCACCGCTCCATCGCCCAGGCGAGCGGTGCCGTGCCGGTCCCTATCTTTCAGGGTTGTGCCCCCGCTCAGTGTACCTTCTCCGACGGCTCTGCCGCAGTGGCTGACACTGCTGCTTCAGCGCAGTTCCGTTCGGGGAAGGGCCGCCGCCCCAAGGTTGGGCGCGGCGGAGGCGGGGGTGCGGGAGGGGGTAGTGGTGGCATCGGGTCGTCTGGTGCTGGAGCGGACGAGGGGACCCTGCCCAGTCCAGCTGAGCCGCCGCCCCTGCAGTTGCAGCAGCCGCAGCAGCCGCCGCAGTCGCAGCCTTCGCAGCAGCCGCAGCAGCCGTCGCAGACACGGCAGACGAGTGTCCTCCCGCCCGGGTGGCCCGGCGCTGGCGGTGGCCGGGCGCGTGGTGGTGTGCCGAGTGGTGGCTCTGGCGGCGGGCGTTGTCAGTACCAGATCCAGACCTGTCCTCGCCGCGGCTTCGTTTGCGGTAAGATCGGTCACTCCACTCCCCGCTGTTTTCGTCGCCTGGACGACCTCTTCCGTCAGTGCTTCGGCGCGTCGCCAGACCTCCCGGACTGGCACAGTTTGCTTAGTCGTAAGATTCAGATCTTTGCTATCGACATGGATGCCATTGTTTCTGCTCTGCATGTGATGTATGCTGATGACTCTAGTGTGCTTCCAGCTTATTACTCACTGTTGCCTAGCGTCGGTGTGTCTAGCGTAGCCTCCCCTGCTGCGTCAGGCGTAGGATCCTCTGCTTTGTGTAGTCTTGGTGCTACCACCGTCGTTCCGACGCCAGACGCCTCTGCTTCGCTTTCCTTCACCTTGGACTCTAGCGCTTCTCGGTGTTTCTTCCGCGACTCCACCACCCTGACGCCGCTTCCTGTTCCTGCTGCCGTCTCTCTTGGTGACCCCTCTGGTGGTCCGGTAGTCGCCCGCAGTTCCACCACCCTTCCCTGTCCGGCGGTTCCTTCGGGCTCTCTCACAGGTCTGCATATCCCCTCGTTCTCCAGGAACCTAGTTGGTGTCGGCTGCCTCCAGGACCTTGGCGTCACCACTACGTTCCCTGGTCACGAGCGGTATGCTGTCTGTACCGAGGCCGCCACTGGTGCCCCCCTGTCCACGTTCCCCCGGGACCCGGTGTCCGGCCTGTTCACTCTGGACACCGTGACCCCCCCGGCTGGGGCCCCCCCTCAGGTGGCTGCGTCTACCCAGGTTGCTGCTGCCTGCTCTTGTCGGTCTCTCACTCACCCAACTCTCCTTTGGCACCACCGCCTAGGTCACCCTGCGCTCCTGCGTCTGCGTCACATGTCCCAGCACGGTCTTGTCCTTGGTCTCCCCGGTTCTCTCCCCGCGTTTCCCTCCTCCCCCGCCCCCCCTTGCACGCCCTGTGTCGAGGGTCGGCTTCGCCGTGCCCCTCACTCCTCCTCGTTTCCCCCTACCGCCGCGCCGCTGCAGACCCTGCACCTGGACGTCTGGGGCCCCGCCCCCGTCCCTGGGCCGCGTCGAGAGCGCTACTTCCTTGTGCTCGTCGACGACTTCACTCGTTACACCACAGTCTTTCCCCTGGAGCGCAAGGCCGACGTGCCTGGTGCTCTCATCCCCTGGCTTGTCTCTGCGCGTGTCCACCGCGGTCTCCCTGTCTTGCGTCTTCACTCAGACCGTGGTGGCGAGTTTGCCTCAGGTGTCCTTGGTCGCTTTTGTTGTGCGGAGGGCATCACCCAGACGTTCACCCTACCGGACTCCACACAGCAGAATGGGGTCGCTGAGCGACGCATCGGTTTGGTCATGGAGGTCGCTCGCACCTCCATGATCCATGCCGGTGCACCCCATTTTCTGTGGCCGTTCGCTGTGCGCTACGCTTCGCACCAGCTTAACCTGTGGCCGCACCCTCAGCAGCCGCAGGTTTCGCCGACCCGTCTTTGGACTGGGTCTCCTGGTGACGCGTCTGCGTTCCACGTCTGGGGCTGCCTTGCTCACGTTCGTGCCTCCGGCACGGACAAGCTCACTGCCCGCACCCTTCCCTGCGTCTTCCTCGGTTTTCCCCTTGACGCGTCCGACTGGCACTTTTACCACCCGCCATCTCACCGCTTCTTTCACTCTCGCGACGTCACCTTTGACGAGTCCGTTTCCTACTACCGTCGCTTCCCCCACCGTGGTCCCCCGGTTACCCCCCCCCTGTTCCTGGTCACTCCTTCCCCGGTAGTCCCTGCCCCTCCTCCTCCTCCTCCCCGTCCCGCCCCCTGTGGTGTGTCCCACGTCACCCCCCTTCCGTCGGCGGACCCGGTTGAGGAGTCCTCTGACTCTGGTGGCCCTCCTGTGCAGTCCTCGCCAGCTGCCCCTCCCCCGGTGTCCCCTCCCCAGTCCCCTCCTCCACCGCCTCTGCCGCCGCTGCAGCCGTCGTTGTCGCTGCCGCCGCCGCCGCCGCCGCCGCTGCCGTCGCGGCCCCCGTTCGCTGACTCTGGGGGTGCTCGTCCCGGTCGCCCTGGGGGTGGCCCCTCTGGGGGTGCTGGTGTGGAGAGTGCCGGTGGTAGCCGAGGAGCAGCTTGCGGACCAGGTGTCGCCGTTGCGCCGCCGCAGCAGCAGTCCCCGCCGGTGTCAGCCCTTCGCCTGCTCGGCCTTCCGTCACCCGACCCTGGGTCTGTTCCTCCCCGGCCGTCTCCTCCTCTTCCTGTCTACGGCCCTGTTTTCCCTCCACCGGACTCGTCCCCGGCCTGTCTCCCCCCTCGTTCCCCTCCTGTGTCACCTCCCCTGTCTCCTGACCCGACTCCTCCGTCGCACGTCTGGTCTCACCGTCCCTCCCGTGCTCGTCCTGCCTCGCCTGTCTTGCGTTCCCACCCTATGTTGCTTCATTCCCACGCGTCTCGTCCTTCCCTTCTGCCGTCGCCTCCTCTGTCCTCCCTTGTTGTTGCACCCCCCCCGCTGTCTGACTACCTTCGTGCCGCTCGTCCCCTTGTTCCTCGGGTCCTTGCCTCTCTTGTTACCGACCCGTCTGTTCCGATCTCGTGCCTTGACGCCCTTGTCGCTGCTGTCGCTGACTTCGCCTCTACCCGCCGCCTTGACTACGCCACAGCTCTGGTCTCTGACCCTGCCTGTCCTCCGTCTGTCGGGGGTGCTCCTGCTCTTGGCAGTGACGTCCTGGAGGACCGCCAGTTCGAGCTTGCTTTCCTCTCCGAGGCTGCTCCCCATCTCTGTTCCATGCTGCTAGTCCCTGAGGGTGACCCAGACGCTTTCGACATCCCGACCCCTCGCACTTACGCTGAGGCGACTTCGGGACCCTGGGCCTCACAGTGGATAGCTGCCATGGAGCAGGAGATGGCATCTTGGAGATCCACCGGCACCTTTGTCGACGCAGTTCCCCCACTTGGGGTGAACGTAGTCGATGGCCGCTGGCTCTTCAAGGTGAAGCGCCCTCCTGGAGAGCCGCCTGTCTTCAAGGCGCGCTATGTGGCTAGAGGCTTCAGTCAACGCGAGGGGGTGGACTTCTTCCAGACCTTCGCTCCGACCCCGAAGATGACTACTCTTCGGGTTCTGTTACACATAGCTGCTCAGCGTGACTACGAGCTTCACTCCCTCGACTTCTCCACTGCCTTCCTTCAGGGCAGCCTACACGAGCAGGTCTACTTGCGTCGCCCTCAGGGCTTTACTGGCACCTTCCCTCCTGGGACCCAGTGGCTCCTCCGGTGCCCCGTCTACGGCCTGCGCCAGGCTCCCCGTGAGTGGCACGACACTCTCCGTGCTACGCTTGCTGACGTGCAGTTCTTTCCGTCTTCCGCAGACCCTTCACTCTTCGTTCGTGCTGGCCAGACTCCGTTCTACATCCTTGTTTACGTCGACGACCTAGTCTTTGCCACAGCAGACAGGGACGCACTGTCCTCCGTGAAGGCAGAGCTGCTGAAGAGACACACGTGCACTGACCTTGGAGAACTGCGCCGCTACCTTGGCTTGCAGATCTCCAGGGACAGAGCATCGCGCACCATCACCCTGACTCAGTCACACTTGGTGCGCCAGGTCCTTCAGAGGTTCAGCCTTCAGTTCTTCTCTGCACAGCCCACCCCTCTGCCTGTAGACCACAGACTCTCCGCTCCAGTGTCTGAGGAGTTGGTAGAGCCCAGCGGCCCCTACGCAGAGCTGGTGGGTTGCCTCATGTACCTGATGACTTGCACTCGCCCAGATCTCGCATACCCTCTCAGCATCCTGGCTCGTTTTGTGGCCACAGGCAGACACCGACCGCAGCACTGGTCTGCCGCTAAGAGGGTTTTGCGTTATCTTGCTAGTACATCGGGCATGGGGTTAGTGCTAGGAGGACGCAGGCCAGTGGTCCTTACTGGACACACAGACGCTTTGTGGGCAGACGACGCCGAGACACTCAGGTCTACCCAGGGCTACTGCTTCAGCCTTGGCTCAGGTGCCGTCTCGTGGAGAGCTACCCGCTCCTCGTCTGTTGCCCAGTCCAGCTGTGAGGCTGAGATCTACGCTGGTGCCATGGCGGCACAGGAGCTCCGCTGGCTGACCTTCTTGCTCACTGACTTAGGTGAGCGGCCTAGCTCTGCCCCGGTCCTGTTCGCTGACAACAGGGCCATGATCCTCCTGTGCCAGGAGCCTCGACTTGAGGGCAGAGCGAAGCACATTCAGCTGCGGTACTTTCTCGTGCGTGAGCTACAGCAGCAACGTCAGGCTCGCGTAGTACACTTGGCCTCAGGTGCCAACACGGCTGATATCTTTACGAAGGCGCTTGCGCCTAAAGATCATCAGCGGCACTGTGTACAGCTTGGTCTAGTTCTTGTAGCCTCTCACTTGCTAGGACCTTGACTTTGTACTGTCCTTTATATGTATACTCAGACTGGACTTGTGTCCTCTCCCAGTGGCTGGACTAGTAGTGCCGCCCTGCTCTTGTTCTTGCCTTGTCTGTACTCCTTCTGACTGGTCTCTCAGACCCTTGTCTCAGAGGTTGGACTAGTAGTGCCGCCCTGAGCTGCTTGTTTAGGACATTCCCCTATGCAGTCTAGGGGGTGTGTCAAACATGTGTAATTGTCATGTTTGTATAGACTGTATAGAGTCATCTCTTAGAGGGTACAAGACTTAGGTATATTTGTGTGTACTCTCACTCTATCACTAACACTTCTCTGATTTTGATAATGTCATGTAGCATTGTAATGAAGCGCAAAGAGCGTGTGTAGAAGAATTGATTAACGAGGAAACAATACAACTGAGACAGCATCAAAACAGCAGGGAACGTGGATATAGCTAGCCTAGGAATACACGGTCGTGACAACATACTGATATACCGTAATCCCCCGTATAAAACACCCGCCGGAATTAAGCTACCCCGGGTAGCTTGAGCGGGTATGGGTGTTTAATTTTTCTGGATATACACAACACCCTACTTTCGGACGTGAAAACTTTTGAACACCCCCCTGCCACCTAGAATCTCCATTTTTAGCAGGAAACACTAGAATTGTGACACGACCTCAGAGGAGTGTGCAGTGCAGTCGTCATATGCAGTCGTCATAGCATATCATAGCTCCATAATACAGCACACTAGATAGGGCAAATACATGGCAAGGGAACAAGGCTGAGCGGCCATGCTAGTTATCAAAGCGAGGGAGGGAAGGGTGGGCAAGTTGGAACAGAAAAATGCAAATGAGACTAGGTGGCAGGTCTGAAAGACCTGCCGATAGATGAAGGAGTTTGTCTCCTTTACAGCAAACTCCTCTTCTAGTTGAATCACAATCTGTAAAATTTCATTACAAAAAAAATCTCATATTGTGACACGACCTCAGAGGAGTGTGCAGTGCAGTCGTCATAGGTCGAACGAGACATCAAGTGTGAGGGCGTCGACGGTGGCGCTCAAGGGTGGCCTGGTACCGATCGGTCGCGCTCGAGCGAGTAGGATCTTGTAGCATGCGAGAAGCGGCCACTAGCTCGCGGTCAAGCTGAGTAATGTAAAGCTCCTTGGCTTCACTTCGCCAACGGCCGAGGGCCTTGAAAAGCCGGTCGGGGACTCCAACATCAACGGCGACCGTCGCAGCTGCCTTGCGGAAAGAATGGGTGCCCCGGAGGGCTGGGTTGAGGCCGACACGGGAGAAAGCATCTCGACACCAACCCCGAATGGCGGCGTACGAGGGAGGGCGATCTGAGGGGGAAGCTCGGGCACCTGGCTGAAATATACGAATAAGGGGGCCAAGGGTCTGCGGAGAATAGCCAGCCAGGAAGAGGAACTGTTGGACACGCGACACCGGACAGTGGCGGGCAGAAGAAGCAGCCACTGGGACCCAAACACCGGTGCCCGCTTGGTCGGTCTTCGAACGGGGGATGAACAACCACATGCAGTCCCGATCGAACTCGATCTGGTGCCACTGGAGGGAGATGAGATCAGAGAAACGAAGGAAGGCTGCGAACATGAGGAGGGGAATAAGGCCCCGTTGGAATGTGGCTGGATCATGCGAGGAGAAGTAGAGGTCACAGATATCATAAATCTTGGCTGGAGGAATGGGCTCTTTCGCTTGAGATGGCTTGCCACAATGACGCATGGCATAATCCTTGACTTGCGAAGAAAAGGGGCCGCGAATCGGGGAGGGGTGGCCGACCAGCCAATGGGCGCAGGATATGGCGGAACACGCAGTGCGCACAGCTGAGACGGTAGCGCCGCGACGGACCGAGTGCAGCAGAAAGAGGGCCGATGTCAGGTCGGTGGCGGGAAGGAAGGGAAGTGAGTGCGCCAAACAGAAGGCTCGAAACTGTCGCCAATAGGGTTCATAAGTGCGAAGGGTAGACTTTGCCCGAAGATCGACGGTGAGTGTGAGAAGGTCCGACAATAATCGACCAATATATGAGCCTGCACAGTGAAATAAAATGCTACATTAGTTGAATGCAAAATGAAGCGCGTACATTGGAGAGTTCGGAAGACCGGCACCGCTAAAGGCATAACGGTCACTGCCAACACGTAAACAACTAGCACCCAGGGTAAGGCGAAGGGCCATAACGACCTCCGGGCCCCAAGTGAAGCCGTCCAGGCTTAGCAAAGGCCACCAAAAAGCACTGGGCCAATATGGGATCACGAGAGTGAGAGAAGTGCGCGAGCGACGGGCATGAGTTAGGACAGCCGGGATGAGGGCGGGTGGAGGAAAGGCGAAGCAATTCTCGTGTCCCCTGTTAATAGAAAAGGCATCTTGCGCAACCGCCGAGTGTGAGAACTCGAGGGAGCAGAAACGAGCGAGCTGCGCATTGGTAGGGGATGCAAACAAGTCGATGGTATGAGGCCCCCAATGCCTCTCCAGCAGCAGAAACCAAGGACGTGTCAAGGAGTAGTCGTCGTGGAGCTCAATCTTGGACAGAGCATCGGCCTCAGTATTCAGCGCACGGGGAATCCATTGGACCGTGAGACGGATCATATGGCGCACGCACAATTGAATAATCGCGCGGCATACGAAGGTAAGCTCGGGACGGCGATAGCCTCCCTTCTGGAGGATGTAGTAGGCCGCCTGACTGTCGCTGCGGAGCAAGATGTGCGAACGCCGGATTTCGACAGAAAAGGCCGAAAGGGACCAAAAGATTCCGGCCAACTCGCGAAGGGTACTGGACGAGCCCAAGAAGGCTAGAGGCAGCGGGGAGGAGAGCGAGCCGACACGACCATCCGGCGCGGAATAACAAGCCCCCCAGGCATGGTCGCTAGCATCCACGTACATGACAACGTCGTACAAATGCGGGTTGTGGAAGCGGGCGCCGTTGAAAATGTCGAACAGTGTGAGCCAAAAACGCAGCTCTTCAACAGACTCAGGGGTTAGGAGAATGGCCGCCCCCCATGAGTGGCATTCGGCGATCTGAGCGAGAAGGTGGTGGGAGAAGGCGCGCGCGACGGTGCCAAGTGCCAAGGACATGGAGGCCAACATGCCGGTGATGCGGGCAATGCGGCGAACAGGGATGCGACGCCCGTTAGCGCCGAGTGTGCCTAATTCATCCAGCTCGGCAAACAGCCGATCGCGCCGATCCGCATCGACAGAGAATGTGGTGGTGCGCGTGTCCAGCAAGAGGCCCAAGAACTTCAAAGATTGTGCCGGCGTGAGTTGTGATTTTTTTAAATTCACTACGAAGCCCGCGGCTGCAAGGTCGGCGATGATTATAGAGCGGTTGTGAAGTGCCTCCGTTCGAGTGGCACTAATGAATAGGATATCATCGACGTATGGAATAAGCCGGATGCCACGGCTACGCCAGCGTTTGGAGAGTTGCTTAATTAACTGGGTAAACACAAATGGCGCTGTAGCCAGCCCGAAAGGCAAGGAGAGGAATTGGTAAGCCTGCCCTTGCAGGGAGAATCCGAGAAACCGCCAAAAGGCGGGGTGAATGTCGACGTGGTGGTACCCAGATTTGAGATCGATGGTGAATAGCCAATCGCCTTCTTGCACCAAATCAGGAACGCGAGTAAGTCCTTCGTATCAAAAACGACGTACCGAGAGGAATGAGTTGACATGCCGCAAGTCCAATATCAGCCTCTTTTTAGAGGGCTGGACAATCACGTTTAATGGGCTAACGCATGTAAGGGTTGCGGAAGGAGGTACGACCCGAGCTGCGCCGGTGGCGAGAAGCTCAGCCACTGCACCTACAGCGAAAGATGTGAATTGCAAGGCACCGGCATGATTCTTAGTACGAGACGGGGGGGGCTCAGAGGCAACCCATGGTAGGCGATATCCAGATGTAATCACCGATAGAATCAAGCGGCTGTCGCACCAGGCGGACCACCATGCAGCGCGGTCACGGAGGCGGCCTTGCATGCGGGTAATCTTGGTTGCGTCATCGGCATAGGCCGAAATGGTTCCGAGCTCTGGTGGGAGAGGTAACACAAATAGGGACAGTAGAGAGTCAGGAAGGTGCTTCACCTCATTTAGTTCCGACCTCAACAAGGGTGTTTTTTTTTTTTTTTTTTTTTTTTTTTTTTTTTTTTGTCGGGAAGGAAGGCAAACGCTAATTATAGGTGCCCACTCGCTCGCTATTCTTCAGCCACGTCATCCCTTAAGTAATAAACCATTGGATTGGGCATGTCAACTTGGCATATTGGGCTGTAGTTGGTGGTCATATATGGTGATGACATAGAAATCTTGTCATGAGTCTTATCAACGGCAGTCTTTAGAGGACACACACACATTGTGTAAGCGTCTTGTGGGCACGTTCATGTCTTCTTGCACAGGCCCAACGGGCGAGACCATGTGGTCGTATGACGCGCGTATTAATTTTACTTGAGTGCAAGAATATGTGTGTATGTTGTTGTCGTTGTTGTCTTTTTTTTTTCTTTTTTTTTTAATATATTAAGAACGCTACAACATCGGAGAGGTTAAGCAATCTTTACACAATCTTAGCCGGCCGATTGGCCCCTTGGCCCCTTTGGGGGCAATTAGCCATCCCATGCCCGGGTTCACGACAATAGAAACAACGGCCATCGCCGTCCCTACGCCATGTGTTCCAAAGGCGCTCCCCTTGGCCTCGAGGGCGAAGAGGGGGTTCAGGACGGGATGTGGAATGGGTGGGCCGAGTGGGCCTCTTCTTGCTAGCCGCTACAATCTGAGAAGCAGCCTTGACATTCTTATCCTCTACCACTTCCCCGTACTTAATCTTAAGGGCCATATTGGCCACTTCAAAACCGCGTTGATCGGCGGTAAACAAAAAATGAATATTTTCTTCCGCCCCCTCTACTATCTGCTGGAGATAGTCGGCGGCTTGTTCACCACCATCAGGTGGTAAAACCGAGATAGCATGACGTGCAATAGCTTGAATGCGCTCAAAACTAAAAAGTTGCGTACGAATGCCATCGCTTTTAACTAAGGAAGAGCGCAACTGAGGACGTGCAGGTGGAATAGGAGCAAGGGCGAGCGCTGCAGAAGCGGATTTTGGGCGGGCAGCATTACCTTCGTCGAGCGTGGCATGGGGTGCTTCCTCGTCCATTTCATCGTCCACGGGCTCGGGGGCGGGCGCCGGGAGGCGAGAGCGTGGGGCTGCCGCCACTGCGACGCGTGCTGGTTCCGGAGGCGGTGCTGGATCGGCACCGTTGCCACGCTGGAGCGCCGCAAGAAGACCAAGAACGTGGTGAATGGCCTCATTGTTGGTGCCGGCGTAAACATTATTGTCGGTGTAGCGAGCAGAATTATTTTCTGCAGAATGAGGCGTTGTGGATGCAGTGGAGCGTGCTGTAACGCGTTCGCCAGCAGCAGCTCCTGTGAAGATTCGCTGAAGATTGCGCTGGGCTGCAGGATCCAGGCGCGCAATCATTTCGGCGATTTTTGCTGCTCCAGGGGTCGAGATCTGCGGATTTTCGCTCGGATTCGCTGCAGCAGGGGGAAAATCCGTCCGGCGATCTGCGCGATCCCGGTCCCGATTCTGGCGATCCTGGCGAATCTGGGGCGCTGGGGCGTTGAGATCGCGCTCATGATGACGCCCTGCGCGCGCAGGATCACGATCATGATTGTGGTCCTCGCGCGCAGGACCGTCATGATTGCGTTCGGTAGGTTGGGGGCGTGACGGGGCATTTTCGGCAGGCGGGTTCGTGTCGACACGGTTCTGCTCGTTACGCCGCTCGCCTTGAAATCCGGGGGGGAAGTCGCGATTGCGTGACGTGTTACGATCCGCGTCTCCCGCCGCGTTTTCAACGTGCTGAACAGGGTCTTGACGCGCGCCACTCAGCAAATCCAAAGCGGTAACGGCGCCGTTACCTCCGCCAGGACGAGGAAAACAAGAGCGTTCTCTATGCTGAGAGGAAGAGTTTAGGTCCCTCTCACGTACAGGGGACCCACGCCTTCCACCACTCCTAGTATTCACGCGAGGAGCGGGAGACCTACCACTTGCAGCGGAAATAAGTCCGCTGACCATTGTAGAAAATCTAACAGAAAAAACGTCTTGCAGCAAGAGACTCCTATGCCCAGATCTGGGCATAAGAGAGGTTTAGAGTGTGCTGGTGGTATGCAAGTTGGAACATAAAAATGCAAATGAGACTAGGTGGCAGGTCTGAAAGACCTGCCGATAGATGAAGGAGTTTGTCTCCTTTACAGCAAACTCCTCTTCTAGTCGAATCACAATCTGTAAAATTTTCATTACAAAAAAATTCTCATATTTTGCGGTGTGTAGATGTGTCCAACCATTCGTTTTTTCCACTCCTTTTGGGGCAACCGTATGCACGTCAAAGCAAGTGGGGAAAACGAGCTCGTGGCCATCGCGACGCGGGTATTTAGGTAGGAGACGAATCTGCCCGAACGAAAACAAAGGCACCGAGAACATTGAAATCCGAAAGGTTCATACTGTACTCGACTTTCGCGTGTCGCGCCAAATCAAACGTGTGCCGATTGGTTGTTCTGGCAGCATCCTCTCTGACACTGCACGCGCAGTGCCAATGTGGCATGCAGATGGGCAATATCGGCCGGTATGCAATAAGATGACCAAAAGTGGGTATTTGACTCAAATGAAGGTGGTGAAACATGCACACTTGAATTCCAATAAAAAAATGCATATGCACATTCCATAACTCCTGGGTGTTTTTTTTTTTTTGCCTTTAATTACACCCAGCCCAAAATTTCGCTGCATTTTTATTAACACCATAGGGTGTTTTATACGGGGGATTACGTTATATTGTTTTAGACTAGATAGGTGCATGCCATAGAGAGTACAACACCTAGCACAAAACTACTCTGTACAACCCATTCTAGTTCGCTTCGTTATCTCGAGATGGTATCATGCTAGGCTAGCTACTCCTCGCCCACCTGCGCTTCCGCCTTAGCCCTAGTCCTAGCCCTAGTCTTAGCTCTAGTCCTAGCCCTAGCCCTAGCCTGTAGGCCCTGCTCGTCGCCCCGCGCTCGCTGGCCCGCGCTTGTCGTCCCGCGCTCGCAGGACCCGCTCGTCGCCCCGCGCCCGTAGACCCACACTCGTCGCCCCGCGCTCGCTGGTTCGCTCGTCGCCCCACGCTCGTCGCCTGGCGCTCACTGGTCTACGCTTGTCGCCCCGCGCTTGTAGGCCCCGCTCGTCGCCCCGCGCTCGGAGGCCCGCGCTCGGCGCCCCGCGCTCGCTGGCCCGCGCTCGTCGCCTCGTGCTCAATGGCCCACGTTCGCTAACCCCGCGCTCACTGGCCCATGCCCACTGGCCCCGCGCTCGTTGGCCCTGTGCTCGCCGGCCCTGCGCTCGCTTGCCCCACACTGACCAGCCCCTTAGTTCGCTGGCTCCTTGCTAGCCGGTCCCTCGCACGCCAGATCCTATCTTGCCGCCCCCTCGTTAACCGGCCCCGAGCTCAACAGCCCCTCACTCACTGACCCCTAGCTAGTCGGCCCCAGTTCGCCGACCCCAGTTCGCGCCGGCCCCCAGTCTGCCGGCCCCCAGCTCGCCCCCCCCCCCCCCTTTGCTAGCCGGCCCCTCGCCTGACGGTCTCACGATCGCCGGCCACATTTCGTCACCGTGCAGCGGTGCCGCCGTGCCGCAGTAACGCCGTGTAGCCATGCCGCTGTGCCGCCGTGCCACCGTAGTGTCGTGCCGCCGTGCCGCCATAGTGCCGTGCCGCTATATCGCCGTGCCGCTGTCCCTCAGTGCCGCTGTGTCGCCGTGCCGCCATGCCGCCGTGGCGACGTGTCGCCATGCCGCCATGCTGCAGTGCCGCCATGTCATCGTGCCGCCGTATCGCTGTGCCGCCGTGCCACCGTGTCGACATGCGATGTGTCGCGGTGTTGCCGTACCGCCGTGCCACTGTGCCACTGTCAGCCGTTGAGGTCGCGGGATGGCGGACGCTGTGCTCCGCCTGGACGCGCAGGGTCGGGCGATCGACTTTGAGACGTGGCTCGTCAACCTTCGCCGTCAGCTGACAGGTCAGCTGCCCGCACTGTCCCTTGTGTCTTCCTTGGCTTCCCGCTAGACGCGTCTGACTGACACTTTTACCACCCGCCATCTTACCGCTTCTTTCACTCCTGCGACGTCACTTTTGACAATTATGTCTCCTTCTACCACCGCTTTCCCCATCGAGGTCTCCCGGTTACCCCCGCCTCTGTTCCTAATCCCCACTCCCTCGGTAGCTCTCGCCCCGCTCCCTCCCCGTCCTGCCCCGTCTGGTGTGTCTCACGTCAGTCCACTCCCGTCGGTTGTTCCGGTAGAGGAGCCGGCTGACTGTGGGGTCTCTGCGGCTTTGGTTTCATCGCATGTCTCCGCCCCGGTGTCTCCTCCTCTAACGCCGCAGCAGCAGCTGCTATCACCGCCGCAGCAGCAGCTGTCGTCGTCATCGTCACAGCCACAGCAGTAACCGCAAACGCCGCCGCAGCAGCCGCAGCCGCCGCCGCATCAGCTGCAGCCGCCGCAGGGGTCCGGAAGCTCTAGGGGTGCGGGCGTTGAGGAGGGTGCTAGTCCTGGGAGTGGCACCGATGCTGGAGAGGGTTCTCGTTTTGGGGGTGCTAGTCCTAGGGTTACTGTCGTGGCTTGTCCCGGTGGTCCTGGGGGTGGCACCTGTGCTGGGGAGGGTTCTCCTTCTGGGGGTGTTGGCGTGGCGCATCCCAGGGGTGGTCGTGGTGCAGCTAGAGGTTCTGGTGTCAGCAAGGAGCAGCAGTAGCAGTCACCGCCAGTGTCCGTTTTTCGCCTGCTCGGCCTTCCCTCCCCTGACCACCCGCCTGTGCCTCCCCCATCGCCGACTCCTCCGGCTGCCTACGGCCCTGCGTTTCCTCTGCCAGACTCGTCTCCGGCTCACTTCCCCCCTCGTTCTCCTCTTATGTCCCCTCCTGTATCTCCTGACCCGACATTTCCGTCCCACTTCCGGTCTCGCCATCCCTCTCGTGCTCGTCCCATCTCTTCTGTTCAGTGTCC